TCGAATTCTAATTATTCCTTTGCCTAATTCAAATAGAATAAGTAAATCCCAAATACAACAAAGAAAATTCCTATTTAAGCAACATCCGTATAGATGTTTTTTTTATAATCTCAAAACACGAAAAATATATTCAAAACACTAAAGTGGAATGGAGGATGTTGATAGACAATGTTGGTCTAATACTCCAACAGACATACTCAGATTAATCTCATCACGTCTTGTTGCTGGTGAGTATGTTGTTTTTCGTGTTGTTTGTAAGAATTGGCGTTTGTCACTGCCTGATCTACATGAATATAGTTATAATTCTCCGTTTTCTTGTATTAATTCGCCTTGTTTGATAAGGTTACATGAGGAAAGTGGCAATGTAGAATTCTTTCATCCACTATACAATGCACAAATGATTCAGAAGATGGATATACCTGAGTTAAGGGGTTCACGAATTCGATGTGCAGTAAAGGATTGGTTGCTCATGAGCAAAGGCAAATTTGGCATGTTCTTTTTCAATCCAATTACTAAAGTTATAATTAAACTACCCGATTTACTAGAGACGGATGAAAATTTATTCCCCTCATGGACGTTTTCGTGTTCCCCAGACTCATCGTCATCAGATTGTTTTGTGGTTGGTTTTTTCTTTTGTGGTACTCCTCCAATGGTATACCTGATCAAAGTTGGAGAGAGTAGATGGACTCTTCATGACTTTTATGATGAAGTTGATGGAATAAACTTTATGCCTAATAATCCGGTATATTCTAAAAATAATAACATTGTTTATATGTTGGGACATAAAGGAACTTTGGGAATATTAACGATTAACGGAAACTCAAGTACAGAGACTCCTACTTGGGAATTTCACGGGAAGAAATTGTCACATCGAAAACAAATTTCAATTCAACAGGTTTTCACAGCAGAAGACACTGATAATGGAGGAATATTAGTTGTGTTTGTAACTCATGAAGAAGGAGAAGTAGATATTTGGAGGTACAAAATGAACGGAGAGGAATTGAAGAAAGAAAGAGTAACAAGTTTAGAAAATAAAACTCTGTTTGTCAGCTTTGGAGTTTCGTTTTTGAGATCATGTGTCGCACAGGGATTAGGAAACAAGATATATTTTCCAATGTTTCAGGATAACAACAAAGGAGTTTTCTATTGTTTGGCCAAACACAAATATTACTCTTTTGATTACTCAAGCCCTAATTATTTCAACGTGGTTCAACCAATACTTAGCTTTTGGATTCAACCCTCGTGATTCAAGTAGACATTATTCTCTTTTTGCTTTTTTTTCGTATTTTGGTATTAATTGGTACGACGAACTATTTGCTTTGTTTTAGTTTCTATTTATTAGAAACATTTCACTGGAACTTAATTTCCATGATTCATACACCCATCCCTCAACCTTTGTTTAGTTGGATTAGAATTTCATCATGTATCTCGACTAATAAATCAATATAAGGATTTGAACTACAAAGTTGCAACATACAAAATATGTATATAAAAAATTTAATACGCTTATAAAATTTTTGATATTAAATTTTTGAAGATGGAGTTGAAGATGGACTTGTGTTTGGTTATGATGTTTGTAAATAATATTTATTTGTTTGAATATACTTTTTCTAAAAAGAAAAACATGAACTATGATTTAAATGGGATCATTTTTATTTTAAAAATAGGATAAAATTTGAAAAAGAAAAATTAATGAAATAAGAGTTTTGGATATTTTCCAAATTTATACTTCATGGACAAATGTGATTTTCAAAGTGAATATAAAAAACTTAAGACCAAACGAGTTTTAAATTTCCTCCACAGCACCCATACACATTTTTCATTAATTTAAAAAACGATAGATTGGTACGACTCCCTTCAACTCGGGTAAGTAATTAGTCCCTCTACAGAATCAAAGCGAAGAAATTTGTTCATGCCACGACGATATATGGAAGGGCAGTAGTATCATATCCATCTGATCTCGCGTGTAAGCGGATAGAATACCTATCAATGAGGACCATGAGGTAAGGAAGGTAATTTTGTTGAGAATACAATTAATAATAAAAGTATATGTTTTTAAAAATAATAATAATAATAAAAAAAATGTATGTTATTTTTAGTTGTTTAAGTTTTTAATTGAGATGTTCATATATGGAGAAAGATATTTCTATCATATTTAGACATAATATATAAACGTGTCATTTAACTTGCTTCAGCTGACATCTATCCCCTCTAACTTTGGGTGTACACAAGTAAATAGTTAAACTTGTATAAAATTAAACAAATAGACACATTCATCTTATGTGGCATCCTACACGAAAATTTTGTGTCTTGTGTGGCGTCATACGTGTAGAACGTGTGCATCTACTCGGGGGTGGACTCACCCTTACTTAAAGGGTGTCAAGCGACACCCCTTCGTCGGAAAATTACATTGTATATAGAGGTCAACTTTTAGTTTAATAAATACATATATATATAAGTATTGGCACCTCTTAACACAAGTTAAAGTTTTAGTCTAGTGGATAAGGCGTTGCGAAAATTCTTTAAGGTCGTGTGTTTTAAGGTTAAGTGTCTACTTGTGGTTGTGCATACACAAAGTTGGAGGACATATATGTCAACTGAAGCAAAGTTAAATAACATATTTATGTATTATGCCTTATATTTACTAATTCACCGTATAGTTTGAAATGATTACATATTATATTACTCTCTCCATCCCATTTTATGTGGCACCCTTTGACTTGGTATGGTAAATGAAGACTTTTGAAAATTGTGGTTTAAAAGAATTCTTGGATATTTGTGTAGTGAAAATTCATTTCATTAAGGATAAAAGAAGAATATTAAGGTTAAATTGTTTAATCTAACTATAGTAAGGTGACATTCTTTTTGGGACGGACTAAAAAGGAAAGGGTGTCACATAAAATGGGATCGAGTGAGTATTAATTAATAATTCTATACCAGAATTCAAGTCTGATACACC